GGACATGTGCTCCCCTGCAGCTCTCCAGCACAGTAAATACTTTTAATGCCAGTACATATTTCTGCTGGCAGCTCAGACCCTCATTTGGTATCTCCCCCAGAGCTCTAAGCTGTGTCTGTCTGGGGATCATTGCTTTTCATGGATCGGTCTCCTCCAGCCCCTGTTCTCTTCCCTCAGTTACTGACAACACCGCATTGGGATTGCCAGAAAACAAGCCGGGCTGAGAGACCTCTCCCCTCCATGATACTGAATATTTGTTGGCTTAGGATTTTTAAGATAAATAGCTGTTTCAACATCTACATCTATAAGTGAAGCAAATGTTCTTCTTTTTCCTCTTAGTTTCAGAGCCATATAGGTGCAATAAGAACCACAAATCTCCATCATAACCCAGAAAGGCACCAGTGTTCATTCCCCTTGCACACATGGGAGCACAATAATCAACCAGCCAAAAGGGTTTTGATGTGCAGCCGCATTCTCACCCTCTCACCTTTTCTGTGTTACTCCCCCAACACCCTTCCACCCCCAAAATCGTTCTCATACCCCAACCCCACACGCTCTCCTGACGCCAAACTCCCTTCCAGACCCTACCTCCTCACCTCCTCTTGCACCCCACTTCCTGCCCAGATCCTGCACCCTCATCCCTATCCTACTTGCTGGCAGCCCTGTCCCATACACTGAGCCTCTCATTTTTGTCCCCACCCCAGAACCTAAGGGGGTCCCCAAAATCCACTACCTCCGGAACCCCAGAAAAGTAAATCCGGCCTAGGGGAAGCCCTGAACTTTAGTCCTCCCTGACCCTTCCCCTCACTCCATGGGGCTGGAGCGCAACAAGAGTGAGATGTCTCACTTAGGGGCCACATCAGTGAGGGTTAGGGGTTTTTGGAGGAGTTTTTTCGCTTCTCACTTGTGTGGTTCCCAACTGATTTTTGTGTGGGTGAGAGGCCACAAAACCAAAAAAAAGTGTCGCCCCCCCCCCGCCATAAATAAAGAAAACATGGGAACCTGGTATGTTGGACATAAATTAATATTTTACTTTATTTAAAATAAAGTTTGATTAACATGAGAAAGTTAAAATGCTTAATCATTTCAATTAAACTATTCTCCCTAGCTGCAGCCCTAGCAAAATGGCTCAGGCATAATTATATAATTAACAGTGAGTTTACATTAGGAACTGGTGGTCCACAGAAAGGTTTGCATTGAGCCAGGTGGTCCACAGGCCAAAAAGTTTGAGAACCACTGTCCTAGTGGAATCTCCTGTTGAAAGTTTTCCTCTTTGTATTGAATATTCACTAGAGCAGGGACTTGAGCTGGACTTTCCCATGTCCTAGGGGAGTTCCTTAAATACTAGAATATCAAGAGATGCTGTCTCTGTTCCAGCCCACCCACCCAAATATTTTGCTATTTTGTACAAAGTGGACCTGTTTCAATAGGAGAGAGCTCTGCTACAAAGCACCCCATAGGTCAGTCAGCTAAGAAGTGGAAGTACCTGGGTTCAAGCACCTTCTCCAAATCAAGCAGAATGGGGATTTGAACCCAGGTCTCCTGCACTATGGGAAAGTACTGGAATGACTGGGGGGAGACATGTGAGTTTGACTCCTTTGGCTGTGGTTTGTGCTCTGAATCTAGTCTTTCACTTTCACTGGGTTCTAAGCATAAGTTAGGCACCGGGCACCAGGGGTTAAGCAGATGAATTCATGCCCATTGGCAGAAAGATGGGAATTTTTGGCACTTAAAGGGTTACACAGTATCTGAGTATCTAATTACTTAACTTAGGTGCCTACAGTAACAGCCATCTAAATGCTTTGCAGATATAGTCCAAGGATTTTAAAGCATGGAAAGCATATCCACTCAAAAGATTAGGATCCCCTAGCGTACCAAGATAACCTCAGAGCAACTCTTTGGAAATGCAGTATGACCTTGGTAATACTGCAGTTGTCACCTACGTGGTAAAAACTTCATGTCATATGTCATGCAAAATATGACTAAATCAGGGAAAGATAATATAATACATAAAAGGATTGATTAGGGATGTAAATACTAGGGATGTTAACTATCAGGTATTTGTGTAAAGAGGCAGCGGGGGGGGGAGGAGCTTTTTC